CGCTTGGGCAAGTTCCTTGACTGACAAAAAATGGCTGTAACTCCTAAGCGACGGTGTTTTTTTGATTCCGGCTTCAGCATTGCGCCCCTATTATTATTATTCTTACTCGTACGAAGAAAGCGCTTTTTTCGATAGAGCGCAAGCTCAGTGGAACGCTGGTTCTGTACTAACACATCCAAGGCCTGTGCGGAGGCTGTGTGACAGCAGGTCAATAGCTAACGGTGTTTACGCCTGCGTGTCTTCAACTACGATTGCAGGTTTATAAAGTTGCCAAGATGCTTTATGCGAACTACAAGGATTCGCGACGTAGCTTTTTTGTGTCAACTCTTTGCTTCTCTGGTTGCTATGGTAATCTCAGCATCGCGATGGACGAACCGGAAGTCACAAACCTATGCGTTCTGCTATAAATATGGGTGCATCGGCAGCTATTACCCTTGACCTATGCTATCCGAACCATGGAGTACGTCCTGGCAGCCATCGCTGGTCATCGGCAACCTTCCCTGCGGAGAGAGCGCACCTTCCCACCGGCGCCTAGCCACGGACGATGTTCCACACCAGCCCCTGCGTTACTACAGGTCCCCGAGGGAACATATTCGTACCCTTTGTACGACACTATAGCCTCGAATGCAGCGGCCTACGGCACGGTCTCGCGCCCTTACCGATGGATGTGCAAGTGCTGCTCGCTTTGCGCTTTTACGCAAGCGCAGTCTAACGGTAGCGTCGGCGTGAGCCAATCGAGTGCGTCGCGCATTAAGGCCAAGCCATAGAGTTTCCCGAAATTAACTATAGTGCACTCTGGCGCTGCGATCACTCAGCGACCATGAGAATGATGGTAGTACACACATTTGCCTAGTCTTCGTACTTGCGGGCGCGAATCGTACTTCGGCTCCATTATTGCTGTGTTTCGGTTTTGTTTTTAAAGAAAGATTGAGCCCTTTTGAACTTCGTGATCCAATTTGGTGAGCAAGTCTTAAAAATAAAATGTGGTGCAACCGCTGAATATTTGCTAATACTTGTTTCGTAAGACACAGCTCCAAGCCACACGAACACACACTGGAGCCAAAGGCAGGCCAGAAGTACGAAGATTAGACAAATGTGTTGTACTACCCATCATTCCCATGCTCGTTGAAGCGCCGTGCTAGAGTGCCTAGAATATTCTAGGCACTCTAGCCGTGCGTTGCAGCTCCCATCTAGCGCCAGAGTTCCCTCTAGTAAGTATTGTGGGAGTTTCTATGGCACAAGTGACGTCCTGTGCTCGCTGGCTGCGGAGCACATACGCTTCCCGGCGACACTGAGGGCTGCTAATGCTACGGCCATCGGTGAGTTGAACTTTGTCAACTAATGCTGTTGCATGACGTGTCATAACGACTACAGTGTTTTGTTAGTGTGGCAGATTTAATGTTAACCAGCGCAAATCTCTTGAGAGCTACTACTAGGCTACCACGCATCTTGGTACCAGTAATAATTTGCAGAATATCCTGCTACACGAGGGAGAAGTTTCTACAGCTTACATTGTTGAGCAATTCTTTGTTGTTTGCCGTAAGCACGATTTTCCCAGTTTAATCGGAACCTTTCTGTTCACTAAGAAGTGTCACAGTCTTGGGGAAAGTAATTTATGTAGTTAACATTCCTGGACTCATCTAGTTGTTTTTACAAATTGTTTTGATTTCAGGTCACTAGTTGCACGCAACCTTATTTCGGTGGCAGCACCAATATGTCACCAGAATGCACGGTTATGCAGCACAATTTTTATTTCTTTATCATACACTGCCTTGCTCGCCATCTTGAGAACTTAATCATTTGTGAAAAGTCTCAGCTCACTTCTTTACGAAATATACCGACATGCAGAGCTTGGGGGGTATTTCACAGTGTTTCAAGGTGCTCAAATGCCTTAGGTTGCCCTGACGAAATGATGTCATTATCTTACTGGCTAATATGTCTTAGCAGCACTTTCAATTGCTGTTCATTCATGTTCTTTTCAGCCTTTTCAGAGATAGCTGGGTTTCTTAAGGTCTTGGGATGCATTCATGGCACTCATGTGCAAAGCAAGCCTCTCTAAAGACAGGAACACTTGTACAGGAACCGAAAAGGACGTACACAATCAATGTAACAAACGATCTGTGATGCTGAGGGTCATTACCCAGCGGACATCGAAATGGCCCGGCAGCACCCACGACAGCTTCATCTGGGCAGACTGTGACCTTCGAAGGTGCTTCCAGAGACGGCAATCGCCCGACGGTTGGTTACTAGGTATTTTTCTGAAAGTATACTTGCGAAAAACAGGAAGCATTTCCTGTGCTCGCCTCTGAACATTTTAATATGCTTTAAAGCAGCTGTTTGCAGTGTCTCCACACAAGGGTGTTAATTGTACTCTCGTTATCAAGTATACCAAACAAGGACAATGTTTATGCAGTGATTGCTCCAGTTTAATTTAATATGAACAGGAATGCAAGCTTCAGTTGTTGAGACTTTACGGTTCCTGTTGTCCTTCGCAGTGCTTGCAAGCCTTTCTCTCTCTCTCTCTCTCTCTCTCTCTCTCTATATTATATATATATATATATATATATATATAGATATATATATATATATAGTATACAAGTATGATATGTATACAAGTATGAAAGTAGAGGCACTTTCATATAAGAACTGTATATTCAGCGGCACTTCGACGCGTCGAAACGTTGGCTGAATAAAGAGTTATGTGATAGCGCATCTACTTCATACTTGTAACCTTGCGGCAACCGAAGTCATTCTTCTGCATGTACATATAGGTATATATTATATATATATATATATATATATATATATATATATATATATAATATAGGGTGTGTTCTTTGTTTGTGGGGGTTGTGCACCATACATACATTTTGCTGTTTGCCACTGGTTTGAAGACAGTTGAAATTTAAACCTGATGCCACTAAAATGAAGTAATAGTGCAATTTGCCTGTGTTCCATAATTCTGCGAACTATTTCCTTTGGCATTTTCGCACCGTACATGTTTTCAGGCTATATGTGATATCTTTAGATTTTTGTTCATTTCGGCATATCACCTGTGACATGAGTACACCCTTGTTCCTCTGTTAAGGTGGCTCTGGGTATGACTTAGAGCTATGGCTGCTCACCCCTGTAAGGTCTCCGGTTGGCCCTGCCAAGGAGCAGTACAACTCGGCCCACACTCGGACGAGGCAAGTCATTGAGAGGACCTTCGGGGTTCTCAAAGGACGCTTCAGGTGCCTGCACCAGTCCGGGGGTGCTCTACAGTACAGTCCGCTGATGTGCACCAAAATAGGGGTGGCATGCGCTATGCTGCGCAACATGTGTGTCCGACATGGCATTGACTTCAACTTTACTGATGGTAAGTGTTTGCTGTAGCTGTAGTAGCTTTATTAACATGTTTTGCAGAACAACTGCTTGGGTAGAAGAAATATTGAGACAACAGCTGCTCTAGCAATTGCCAACTGCCGTGCTGTTCGAGAAAGTGATCTTGCTCAAGCTTCAAAGATGTGCAGAAGTAGATATTTCATTCCTCATAATGAAAAGTTCACTGTTAGCATGGTCAGCTCCTACTTCATACTAGCTTGGTTCTTTCAGAAAACATCGAGCTTGCTCAAACCACTGGACATGGTTTGCCAGTTCCTCTGTGTAAATGTTTTGAAGTTTTTACATACCTGTACTCGTAAAAACATATGCTGCGAGTAATAGTACCATAAGATATTAGTGAGGGTTTGGAGAAGAATGGCTGTGCTGCACATGCATAGCAAATTCAAACGAGACTGTGGTTGCTAAAACGCGTAGCACAGGAACAGGGGTACCACGTATCATTGCTTTTATATACAAGTTTCTTTACCCTTGTCAGTACGTCAATGTTGCTCCAAGGGGGAGGGAACTTTACTCATTTTCCCTGTCCTGGTAGTCACACTGCATTGAGACCCACATAGTAGAAGACCGTGTACAGTCGATGCATCTTAAATGAGTGCTGGATGGTCGATTTATCCTGAGCGATGCACTATGGTATATCGCATGTTGATATATCTGTTTTGAGATCTAAAACCTTAAATATTATTATGATTAGATTATTATTATTTTATATCAGATTTATAAAAAAGCCAAAATTGCCAGATGTGACAGTTCCCTATTTTCACGGAAACATGTTCCTATGAGCAGATTATTTTTCATATACTGTTTCCTGTTTAAAACATTGTGATTTTTCACCAAACAGGCACACCACTGTGAGCTCCACAATTTCTTAGCTTTGCTAAAATTTTGCAGCTTGAGAGCTTTTGTAGTGGGGAAATCTTTGTAATGTTTATTAGGCTAAGCAAAATGGTGTCAGTGTCCTTAATCCATGCTGACAATTACTGCCATAACATAGTCTGTGAAGGTTGCATTAGTAAATGCATCATTAAAGTATGCGCAGAATACATGCTCGTTTTTCTTGGCACAAAGCTTCTGGAGCACCTTAAAGCCTGATATTAAGACACTAGTTAGAAGACGATGTGCAAGGTTTTGCTTCACAATAAATATGTGTTGCAGTTATGTAAAAAATCTGTTACCAGGAATTGTGTCGAGCCGACCAACAAACTTGTCTTCCTCGAAGTTCTGTTCTATCCTTGAGGAAGAGGAGTGAACTTGTGAAATATTAGGTTTGACAGAAACCTCATTTACAGATTTTTTCATTGAAAGCTTCTATCGTCTCCTTTCTGCCATTTTTTTGTATGTTCCAGTAATGAAACAGACGCTTGAAAGTCTTCAGTCATTCATACCTGTACAAATTTTGTAGCTAGCAGTCTTTTGCAAACAGTTGTATGGTCTTTCGCAAAGCACTCCTTATACAAATCTGCTCTGTGAGCAATACGGAAGTAAAATTTTGTACACGAATTATAAGGTTCATATGAGTGCACTAGTATGGGTAACAAGAGAAAAACTTTCGCTTGGCTGTGTGTATTTCTTCAACGGTCAAGTCTGAAACACTGGTTGGCTGCAAGCTGAACATTCATGCAGCATTCTCGTTTAGCAAATGTCATTTCATGTATCTCTATTTGCGATTATAATGCTTAAAGATCCTTGCTGCCTTGCTTTGCAAATGAAAAAAAAAAATCCATGCTGTGCTGTCTTAAATGATTTCCTTCTTTAAATATGGGGTGAGCAAAACATGGAACATTTATTTTCTGCACTGCTATAATTTTTCAGAACATTCATACTTGGAGCAGTAAATTGTCACTGGAAATTCAGGTGTAAGTGTGGATACCGTAATAGTATAAGTTGTATACGTAAAGGCGTGTCTACAATAGAGGAACTCGACACTTATTTCGGTAGGCTGATTGTCTTTGGGAGCGTTTTTTGTCTGGTCATCGGCCGATGTACACTGCAACGACACAAACAGTCTGCCTATGGTCTCAGGGAGGCTTTGTTCGCGCCTTGTCCTGCCCACAGCCTTTAGTTGGCCAATTCTCAATTAGAGTCGCACTGGGGGGGCACACGCAGTGACACCTACTAAATTTGCACAAAACATTTGCGACTGCTTCTCATTTTCAGCCATCCTCCGGGCGTTGCCATTGTCCCTTTTGGGGTGAGGGGCCGGGGGGTCGGGACAGACAAAGACAAAGCGAAGGAATGACTTTTTTGGAGTGCACAGGCTGACCATTGAAGGAGCCCTCCAACACTATTCAACCCCCTATGTTTTATATGTGTGTTGTGTATACTGAAGTACAGACTAATGCAGCAAGTTGTTTGACTTAGAAAATTCAAAATACAAAAACCAGAGTGTGGACCCTCAACTCGATTTTCACAGGGTCACTTGACAGCATTTCACTTGCCCGTGTCTTCGGAGGGCTACCCCAACTAAATAAGCTGGAAGCGCCTACTCAGGGTAACCTCGCACCTCACTGTTTTTTCTTTTGCAAAGTAATGTTGACCTTGTTGCTACCACAATTGATGTCTTGCTTGACGCATGGCTTGCCAGAGCGTGAGTGAGAGCTACTTTGTCGAAGCGAGGCGTTTTCTGCTGTTTTTACAATATCCCAAGTCACTTTCTCTTATTCTGAGAAAGGCATTTGTGGAACCAGAACAGTGAAGTATTGTAGAGCCTTCGCGTGCTGTTAGATGAGCTGCCCAACAAACAATGGTGCACTGCACCTCTTCTACAGGGCATGTGCAGAAACAGATAGCTCGTATACTCAAGAAAGCAAGAAGAGGGAAGAAAGAAAAAGACGTGCTTCGTATAGAAATCTGACCCGCGCAAGCTAAAAATCCAGTGCCGAAATGACAGCCAGCATCTCTGTCATGCTTTGTAGTCACCGTGATCTTTTTTGTTGTGGTTGCGTGTGTTCAGGGTTTGATGAAGAAGCACAGAGAAGAAAAATGAAACAGATTAGTAACCTCAGTTTGATCCTACACCACGATCGCTTCTAGCATTACATTTATACAATCATATGACGGCAACTTTCTAGTGTCATTTCCACCCGCAAAGTTCAGACGAGCGCCGCTACGTGGCGATAAGGTCGGCAGCGATGTGTAGTTTGTTGCGTAATTAAAATACTAAATCAACTGCTATTGGCACTTTGACCCATGCTGAAATTATTTCCACCTATCGGTCTCTGCAAACCACCAATAAAACATAGCTTGTTCAATAGTGTTGGAGAACACCTTTAAGTAGTGTGCGAGGCCTTCTACCTCTGCCTAAGATCTCTCTCTTAGTTCTTAGATTGAACGACAAAGGTAAGTTTTTGCTCGGCAATCGATCTTCTGACAATCTGCGGGTGACAAGTCTGCTAATACGCTTTGCTGGTGTTTTCAGTCTGCTATCATATTACACGACGACAATGAGCTTTCTTTCGAAGCGTCGTTGTTTTCGGCTCAGTGCGACCAGATTGTCAGGTGCCATTGTCGGTGGGTAGCTCAGCCGATCGTCTGCGTCGGGGTCGTGTCAGCGCCGGGTCGCTGTAGTGCAAACACGCCTTAAGCAGACCAGTGAGTGCAAGTACATGTGTAAATATAACCATAAATACAGACCACAACGAACATCATGGTCTGGCTCAGCTTGTGCATGGAGATTTCATAGTGTGAGCAGTTGTGCTGTAAAATATTTAACTTCTCTAACTTCTTACATTCCCTTGAATCAATCTCGCAAGGATTGAGCCAAGCGGTAGTTCGGAAACTTTTTCAGGACATTGTTGTGGAAAGGTTCACCTCCTACTTCACCAAAGTGAGCTTTTATCATAGCACATGTATTGTTAGGTGGAAGTAAGATATGCGCTTGCCAATTTAGTTATAAAGTTGCACTTTTTGTTTGCTTAGTGTTGTGCACAAGGTAAATGATTGGAAGCATTGTATATCATTGACTCTGCCACACTACTCAGGACAACAATGTAGTTTCACTGTGCAAAAAAAGCTGTGGGTATAACGAATGCTCCTTTTTGTGCACTCAGAATTTCTCTAGCTTTCAGTATCTTTGAAATGGCACTCAAATGGTGTGCTCAAGTGTACATGAAAAAGTTTTTCTCGGCTACTAGTGGCAAGTAGGTGATCTAGCATTGAGTAACTTGAGAGCATCTGTGCAGCTGCTGTGAGAAATGAGGCTCTGATGATAGCTGGTGCATAATCACCTATATTTGGAAAACTTTCCCATTGTTCATGAGACAGCATGTTATTATTTCGCATGTGTGGTCTATCTACTTTCTCTCACCATAAATGCTACCAAAAGCATGCCTCTGAACTAATGTTTTTTCTGAGCTGCATTAATGACTAATTGGAAATGAAGAAAATTTTTTTCTGTGCTTGCAACTTGCTTCTAGCACCGAATTGTTGTACACTCTCAAGGAGATTGCTGTTTTGCCGCATGAAGAGTTATCACCTCACTTTCACAGATTTCTTTTGTAATTTTTAGATTTGTTGAATTTGTTTTTCTATGGAAATAAGTTCCTTTTTTTCATGCTCCTTCTTGAGATAGATAGATAGATAGATATAGATAGATAGATAAATATAGATAGATATAATGTGTGTGTTTACGTTTTCTCCTTAGATGACCCTTTCTTGGACGAGGGAGGGGATGACCCTGAACTACGACGTCTGCAAGAAGACACAGGAGCTGGGATTGCTGTGGGTCGCCAAGTTATTCAGGCCATGCGTTCATTGGCTGAGCAGATGGTATGGCAGCTAATGTTTTTCTTTAATGTACAATATGTATACAAAAAAACTTTACCTCTTCATGTTGTCTTCATTTTCCAAGTAGGAGTTAATGCCGTAACGTAGGCTGGAAAAGGTAACGTGGTCACAATAGTTTGCCATGCCGAAATATGAACTTTGCCAGGCACTTGTTCCACACTTGCTGATGCTGACTTCTGTCTCGTCACCTTGTCCATGCTGTTTACAGTCGGTAAGGAAAGGAAACCGTGATAGACATTCCTTCCTGCTTCTTTTCTTCTACACTGCATTGTTGAATTAAAGGGATAAGCTGTGTTAAACCTCGTCATTCTATTAGTCATATGTAAAGCAGACGTGCAATTAGTACCTCCACAATATGGGGCTGTCGCATCCAAAAGGGCATGAGAGTAATATATTAAGATACTGTTTTTCAATTTGCTGTTAGAGGAGCTACCAGGTGTAGCTACATTGTGCATATTGGGTACTCTTATAGGCCTGTAGAGGCACAAAAAATTTTGTGGCCTAATTGCCTCCTTCTTGGCTACTATTTGCCCCTAGATAAGTTTGAGTGGTGATGCAGGCACTGCTATTTCATTATATGGTTCCGAAACATGGCAGTTGAAGCGTGCGTTGAGCTCCGAATGTTCAATTTTGCTCTTTTATTAGAGTAATTAACTTTATCCAGAGAATGGTGCAGTGGCCTAATAAAATGTAAAGGTCAGTGTCAGCTGGTAGCACAAATATGAAGACTACAGGTTCGTAATGCCAGTTAAGCACTCCTCTCTTTCTCTCTCTCTCTCACTCACTCACTCTCACTCACTTTCTCACTCACTCACACACACACATGCACATGCACACACACACATGGGGGTAAATGCTTTGAATGCCTTGTTGACACTTGTTGAGAACTGTTTGTTGCGTGGAGGCTGATCTCGCATATTACCCTTAGCTGAATGTGAATTTAAAGGATAATTGCAAGCTAACACAATTTCAAAACAATCTGCATTCACTGCGCTTGACATTCATCGAGATTAGATATCAAATATTCAACACTTCGGGTGACAACTGAAAGACTAGTGTTCATAAGGCAAAGACAAGATAACACCAGCACTCACTAACAGTTGTAGGTGTGCACTTCTGGTCCTGGCTTTGCCTTCTGCCTACTGGTTGTTAGTGCTCTCCTTAAAAATTTGTACCAACTTTTACCCTCCGATCAATCCTTCTAGGATATTTTATGAACTGCTCGTATCATTTCTTAGTCCTGGGTATAGACAGCAGCTGTTGGTTCATATTTATTAAAAAAATTCCTTGCGAAATGGGCCTCAGTTTGTTTCACTGCAGTAAATGAAAGTTTGAACACTAATGTTATGATAGCAACGTTTAGTCACTTGAACGATAGTAAAAAAGTCATGCAAGACGAGTGAAGAAAGAGAAAGACAGCTTAGAACTACGTTGTTATGCATAACACGATTGCCAAACTTGAGAATTTTGGCTTCAGTCTCGGGAGTGGCAATTTCGATTTGGCTATGCAGCACACATTTACATTTTGGCGAAAGACTGTTGTATTTAGTGATTTAAATGTAAAAAATAGAAGTGGTTTCCACTGTTTTAGGTGGAAAGTCTGGGCTAGTATTACTGCCCCAGTCTGCAATAGTGTTTTTCTCATTTTTTAGTTAGTTTGCCTGTTCTACATAGCGTGTTTGTTTTTTATGCTGCATATCTATAACATAAATTAATTTGGACTTGGACAAGACTTTGCAAAAATAAAGAATATGTTAGGACATTTCTTAAACCTATTCATGTGGGCATGGAGAACAGTCGTTAGTTCAAAAGTACACTGAGAAGACCTGACAAATAAAGGTAGTTTGTTGCTTGTATTAAAGCAGTTAATTAAAGCATTTTATTGCAAGATAAGAATTTGCTTTTTCTGTGTGCACTTAATTTTCAGGAATCAAGTTTATGATCTTGGTGAGAACTTGAAGGAAGGTGCTTGCACCTGTGCAGATTATGTCTGTTTACGAACGAGACAGTGCTGATAAAGGCTTCAGACTTGTATTCGTTAAAAGTGTTCCAACATGTATTACAGTGCAGAGGTGCAATACAGAACCAACACAGGGATGGATGGTACGTCCACATTAGAACTTCACATGACAACACAAAATATCTGCCCATGCAGAGCTGGTTTCGGTAATGTTACCTCATGTTTGGTCAGCTTATGAAAGACACAGCCAAAACATTCACTTTAAAAATTTTTAATTGTTTTCACTGTAATTTGGCACCACTCTGTTTGCTTCAAAATGAATTCTGTGCTTGTGCAGTTTAACCTTCAAAATTCTTTCCAGAGCCCTTGCAGTGCGCTTGTGAGCTCTGAGAATTTTTTTTTATTTTCGAGTATGTGCTCGAAGAGTTCTTGTTCTTCTGGAAATAGAAGAGAAAAAGTTGTTATCACATATTTCTATCACAGTGCACTTTCATACATGCAACTGCCCTAATTACTATTTGTACTTTTTCCACGTTCCAGTAATGGCACTACATCGGGCACTTCATCGCCATGTGCTTTGTGGCTCCAGCAAAATTGACAGATAAATATGTGGGATTTTACGTCCCAAAACAACGATGTGATCACCCGAGACACCCTAATGGAGGATCATCTCATGTTTTTCAACGTGCACGGATATCGCAGAGTACACAGACCTTTACCATTTCGCCTCCATTGAAATGAGACAGCCGCGGCTGGGATCGTACCCACGACCTTGAGATAGGCAGGCACCTACTCTAGCCACCGATTTTCCAAGGGGGACAAAGTTGACAGATTAACAACGACTATTAGTAATCGGGCCGAGTTGTTCAGTGTACTACTCAGATTGATACGTACATTGAAATAGCTGGACTTATATTTGTATGCTCACTACTGGTGTATATGCACTTCAAGCTTTGTGCAGTACGCCCTGCTGTAGATCCTTTTCCTTGAAGATGGAAATGTGTATTGTTAATTGCATTTTGAAAGCAATGTTCACGAGTAGCCTTGCATTTAGCGCCCCAGAGTAGTTGTCGTAGTCAGCAGTCAAAACTTTAACGCTCGGTGCTGCAACCCAGTAACTGCTAAGCCAGCAGAGTGTCATTTTTTTGTTCTTTACTTGGTTGCCAAGGAAAACAGAAGCACAGCAATAATGACTGTCACGCACTTCGGGTGAGGCCCCGCCGATCCAACATCGACGTGCGACAGACTCGCAGGCTTCCACTTTACGCTTCAGCCTGCGACGCCTGAAAGGCGTCGAAGTGGCACATTTCAAATTTATTTGCAGGTTGGTCGACCCATGCGGGGTTGCCGTGTGGTGATGTGTGGGCCTGACCAACGCACTCATAGACCAGACACGGAGTTTGATTACACATAAACAAGCATTTAATTAAAACAAAGGCAAAGGCAGGAGTTAACAAAAATAGCAGAGGAAGAATGACACTGATACGCGATGGGAAGAACGGCTATGAAACAAACTATGCTCTAAAAGAACACAAGAGGTACAGACAAAAACAAATACGCGGAATATTAATAAAACAACAAGATGGAACTACAGGAGAGACAAGGAAAATTTACGAGAGAAAGAGAAAAAAAAAACTCAGGCTCGCGCTTCTGAGCTTTAACGTGCGACGCAGCGCACACTACAAATATTAAAAAAAAAGGCTGGTTAAAATAAATTAACGATTTAAAAAAAAAGTCGCTATGAAAAGTTCCATACGGACCAGGCCAGCTCTTGGTGCACGTAGGGGAGTTGACGGGTGCCGCTGAAGGTCTCGCCGGCTTGGTAGACGACGAGGGTGCCCGGAATTGCAGCCGTCTCAATACGTTGCGCGGGTTACTCCATGCTCGTCGCCTACGCGAGACTCGCGACACCGACGACCGCTCTTGTTGCTGGCTGTACGTCAACTGCTCTTCCGATGCAGTTCAAACCTCCTCAGGCGCGTACACGTGCTCCCGTCTCATTTGGGAGTAATTTTCCTTGTTCAGACCGCCGGTGCCCCTTTCAGTACAGGTGCAGGGAAGACGAGCCGGCGGCACGCGGGGTCGTTACAGTCGCCGGATGTCGTCCCCCCAACACAAAAGCGCCCTTCCTTGGAAGATGGGGCCCGCGGATGATCCGAAAATTGGGCTCGTTTGTGACACAGCCCCCTTCTCCAGAATATTGCTGTGTAATATTCAAGAAAATCACAAATGCGCAATGTTCGCGAGCTTTCAGTGTTCCGGTCGTCCACCAACGCGTTTCTTTTTTTTTTTCGCGCACCATTTCGCTGACGTGGACGACACGGCAGAGAACACCCGACATACCACACTTTCACGGTCACTATACGATGAATGTCATACCCCGCGCACCACGACACGGACACACACACATGAAACACGAAGAAACACACACTGCTAGAATCGAGGGAGCTACATTCGAAGCACCCCTTCGGGCCATCACGACACTGATCACAAGATAATCACAACACATAATTCTTCCAATGCCACGAGAAAAAAAAAATACCGAGCAATTCTAAATCAAAGTGATACAGAAAAATTTCAGACGAAATTAAGAAGGTACGAAGCATCCATGTATGCAAAAAACTTAAAAATGTGGCCTTATGGCATGAATAAAGTGGAAACCAAAAAAAGCGAATGTCAAAGGTCGCTATGCGCGACGCGATCATCTGCATTTCATTGAACCTAAGTACACTCAGGCCTCCTCATCGCCGACTCGGCTCATGTAATCAGCCCCTACATTCTCTGAACGCTTTATGTGTTGTACTCGGAAACTGTATTGTTGGAGCTTAAGACTCCAACGAAGGACTCGTCCATTGGAACATTTCACCCCCTGAATGAACTTTAGAGGTTCATGTTCCGTCTGAACAAGAAAACGTCTCCCGTACAAGAAAACCTAGAACTTCTCTACTCGCCAGACAAGAGCAAGAGCTTCCTTTTTGACCGTTGAGTATGCTACCTCTCGGGGTAGCAACTTTCGACTAGCATAGGTCACGGGGTGGAGAATCTGCTCGTGTTCTTGGAGGAGCACCGCTCCGATTCCCCTATCCGATGCGCCAGTCCGTAGGACAAACTGTCGTTCGAAATCTGGAAGCTTCAGTATGGGTGTGGTCGTCAGGCATTTCTTGAGCTGAACGAATGCGCTATCCTGATCCGGACCCCATTTCACAGTGTTAGGAAGCCCCTTTCGGGTAAGGTCGGACAATGGGCTTGTCAATGTTGCATAATCGCTAATGAACTCCCGGTAGTATCCCGTTAGCCCAAGGAAGGATCGCACCTGTCGCTTTGTGGTTGGCCGGGGTCCCCTCTGAATCTTCTCCAATGTCGCGGAAAGCGGAGAAAGCTCCCCGGCGCCGATCTGATGCCCAAGAAACGATATTTGCTGCATGCCTATTTCGCACTTTGCCGGTTTTACCGTCAGCCCCGCTTCATCGATGCGGATGAATACCGCCCTGAGGGTTCGGCAGTGCTCCTCCCACGTGGTACTTGCGACTAGTACGTCATCATAATAGTACGCGACGTCTGGGACGTGACGCGTCTCATGAGTTTAGTGAAAATGGCCGGTGCAGTTTTTATTCCCAAAGGCATATAGCAAAACTGGTAGTCCCCCGATACGGTAGCGAACGCTGTTTTAGGCCTTGCCTCAAGGGCAAGAGGTACCTGCCAATGTTCGCGAGCTTTGCCAGTACCCCTTGGCAAAATCCAACTTAGAGAAAAACCGCTTCGTACCCACCGTCGCAAGCAGCTCATCAGACCGCGGGATTGGCTCAGCATCGTCCACCAAGACTTCATTAAGTCCGCGAAAGTCGATACACAGTCTGTGTGTTCCATCTGGTTTTCGCACAGCGATGACGGGGGAATAGAAGGGTGACTCAGATCTTTCCACAATACCCAGCTTCAGCATTTCGGCTACCTCTTCCTCTATAATGCCTCTCACTGAGAAAGGCATTGGGTATTGTCGGACGTGCACGGGTCGTTCGCTGGTCAGTTCGAGCTTGCATTCCGTCAGCCCTGTTCTTCCAGGAAGGTCCGAAAAGATCTTCTGCTGCTCTTGGAGTAATTGGGTGACCTCTGCTTTGTTGCACTGACAGGTGATCAGATATCTTCACGTCCCGGAAAGACTGCAATTGATGAGGCTGTAAGAGCTTGATGTCCCCACTTTCCGGGTCTTCGCAATTGACAATGGCCCCAGCTCCAGCAATTTCGGGACTTCGCGTTGATAGCGCTTCAACATATTTATGTGAAAAATTTTGCAGGAGCTGCCGACCTCGACTTCATAATCGGCGTCCCCCTTTTTGCTCACAACGATGAAGGGTCCCTTCCACTGCATTAGCAACTTGTTGTTATCCGTGGGCAATAAGATCAGTACTTGTTCCCCCGGTTTTAAGGAACGCTTTCGGCTCTTCAAGTTGTAGTACTTGCCATAGCGCTCCCCTGCACGCTCCAACTCCTCGTGCGCCAGTCGACAGGTGTGCTCTACTCTTCCGAAAAAGCCGTATTTGTCCACAACTCCCTTAGAACCGCCAGCGGCCCTCGAACAGTCCTTCCGTACAACAATTCAAATGAAGAAAATCCGAGACTTTCCTGTGGGACTTCGCGGTAAGCAAATAACAACGAAGCGAGATAACAGTCCCAGTCGTGCGGTTTCTCCTGGCACATGCGTTCTATCATCTGTTTGAGCGTCCCATTAAACCGCACGACCAGGCCATTCGCCATTGGATGGTACGGGGTTGTGTGGAGCTGATTGAGAGATAGCAGGCGGCTGACTTCCTTCATAACTTCGGAAGTGAAGTTTGTGCACCTGTCGCTGAGTACTTCGCGAGGCACACCTACGTGCGAAAACATTTCCACCAGCGCTTCGGCCACCCTTTCGATTTCTACAATTGGTAGCACAACAGCATCTGGGTACCGAGTGGCATAGTCGACCATCGTGAGAATATATTTGTTGTCCTGGGTCGACCTGGGAAAAAGCGGTCCAACTATGTCAATCGCCACCTTCTCAAAGGGAGTAGAAATGATGGGTACTTTGACCAGGGGCACTTTTCTGGTATGCCCCTTAGGTGCAGTTTGCTGACAGATGTCACAGGACGCGACGAAGCGCTTCATGTCAGCCTGCATCCCCGGCCAGAAAAATTCGGTTCGAATCTTCGAGAGCGTTTTCTTCACCCCTTGGTGTCCTCCCATGGCGCCATCATGGTCCAAGTGCATTATTGGGACACGCAATTTTTCTGGTACGACAACTTGTGAGGGCTCTTCCCTGGACTTCGACACGTACCTTCTTTGGAGCAATCCCTCTTGTATGAAAAACGTGTGGTGGTCCCCGTTCTTGCTGTGTTTCTCAACATTTAGGTGATTGAACCCAGCTTGTAATGTCAAGTCGTTTTTCTGCTCGTTGACCAGTGCTTCCCGGCTAATGTCCAGGGAAGATTCAGGTACCCGCAACTTCTTCCGAGTTGTTTCCCTACAGCTTTGTGAGCGCGTAACCGCGGGGTTGGCTTGAGGTACTTCTTGTCCCTTTGGCTCCTCCCCCGTACCGTCATCCGTCAGCAGCTCCTGCATCTCTGCCTTGGCGTCTTGGGATGCGTCCACATTGCTCCCAACATCATATTTTTTTGGGAGGTTCCAGTGTAGATCGGGGTCATCAGCCGGTCGTACGCCATCTACATTACCCAGGATGAGATCGTATAGG